CAATTTCAAAGTAATGTTATTTAATATGATTTCTTTTCAACTTCTTACCACAGAAAAATCTGGACACCCTAGTATAGTTATTTAAAATTATAAAATTTTAAAATAAAACATTGAAGTATGTTGTTATGCATTGATATTCCATATTTTCTCGTAGAAACTGAGAAGATAAAGATATTTATAATTTACCTCAAGAAGCCCATGATTATCAGCTACAAAGAAGTCATGAAAATAGAAATCCATTTTGATTTGCAGTTCAACATATCAGAAGCTTCCATTCAAGCTTTAGGAAAAGATAAACAGGTGGCAGGTTTCATTCTTTTGGATTATTTAAAAATGTTTTAGTATATTTCATGTCTATTAAATGTCCTTGTTGGGTTTTGATGTGAATATTTGATCAAGCAGGAAACCTGGTCTTTCGAGTGCCATGTAAAAAGAGTTGAGAGTTCTGGATTTGAATCCCAGTTTTCCCTTTTCATGGGTCATTGTCTTGACGAGGTAGGACAGAAAGCCTCTTTGTTCCTTGAAATGCTTTATTCTACTTACTGTGAACAGATGAAAAGATTTCTAGGATAATATCACCCTCTTACCACCTTCTTCCTGGAGTCCTGAGGACACTGGCATTTCCATCTCTCTCAGCTCCCCCTGGACCTATGGGGAGTGTATTAGTCTGTTCTCACGCTGCTAACAAAGACATACCCGAGACTGGGTAATTTATAAAGGAAAGAGGTTTAATGGACTCACAGTTCAACATAGCTGGGGAGGCTTCACAATCATGGTAGAAGGCAAAGGAGGAGCAAAGTCACATCTTACATGGTGGGAGGCAAGAGAGCTTGTGTAAGGGAACTCCCCTGTATAAAACCATCAGATCTTGTGAGACTTACTATCACGAGAACAGCATGGGAAAGACCCGTCCCCATGATTCAATTACTTCCCATGGGGTCCCTCCCATGACACGTGGGAATTATGGGAGCTACGTTTCAAGATGAGATTTGGGTGGGGACACGGCCAAACCATATCAGGGAGTCATTAGGAATAAAGTTTCTGAGGGAGTTTTTCCACAGTTTTACCGGTTGGTCTTACCTTGTGGAAATGGTCTGTACCTCTCTAGATTGCTGTGGTCTCCAACTCTCTGACTGTAATGTTTCTTGTTTGTTGACAGGAACAGGAAACCTTTCTGTATCACAGACGGTAGACGGGGCAAAGAAATTTGTGACAAAAGGCAAAAAATACTGTGGTAATGGCCCACAGAGAGTTGAATTAAGAGCTCAGAGATCTGAGGGAGAGGTCTTGGTCCGGCTTCCTTTTGGTTTGAGTTGTATATGAAAGTGTTTATATGTAGCAAAGTGCTCTTAAAATAGTTTCCAAAAACTCACCCTATTTTAATGACATGGTCTTTTTACAAAAACTCCATTTCGTGGTTGAGGATGAGGATGAGAAATAAAGGGGAAATCAGTCACTTGATAAAAAAACATTTCTTTCATCAAATTACATATGTTCTGACGAGAAGTTTGCCTTAACTCACAAAAACATCAAAACCATACGTATTTCCATATTTCACAAAATGAATAATATGTTTGGAGGGGAGAATGAGGATTTTCCTGTGATAAAGCTGCAGTTCCTAGAATAGGAGGCCCCTACCCTAGGGAAAGGGGTTGACCTGAGACCCTACAGTTGGGAACTCACTACAGACTCATCCTGAGAGAGACTCAGTGCCTACGAGAAGCAGGGATTAGCTGTTACCAACGGGGTGAGACCTGGGCCAGAGACGGGAGAGGCTGGGAAGACACCAGGAAAGAGTGCTTAGAGCAGGGGAATGGCTAGCCCTAGCTGGGCCTGGAGGGAGATGGGGCCTGGAGAAGGCAGAAACAGTGGAATGATCCTTCAGGAGAGGACAAACTGGTAAACTTGACTAACTTCTGATTTATCATGTTTTGTTCTAAGCTTTAGGTTTTCCTTAATTTTTTTTTTTTTTAAATGACTACATTTCAAAGTTGACTTTTGTCTTGCATTTCAGATGTCGCCTGACCAGATGAAAATCTCCTCAGAACTTTTTAGTAAGTCTGATAAAGAAGACAGGGAGAATCCCAGTGGCCATGAAAGAGAAACAGGTATATTGGGAAATAAGGAAATTCTGACCCTGAGTTTCCTGTAAAAGCAATGAAACCTTAGTTGGAAGAGGTCACTGGAAACCTGTGGTCATATGAGTGATGCATGTCTGATGGCACCTCTGGAGGAAGAAGAACTGCTGATAGCCTTGAATTGTTTTCTACACCTGATAGGTCTCTCTTGTCGGTCAACTGGAAATGACAAAGGAGAAGAAATGATGGGGTTTGGGGGAGGCAGGACATGGAGGGTAGGGAGGGTCTTGTCTACCCACAAAGCCGGCCCTGCACTAGACCATGTTTCTCTTTTGAGTTACGCCCCAAGGCTGTTTTCCCAAGTGCCCATAGATTTCTTGTTTTTTGAGATGGAGTCTTGCTCTATTGCCCAGGCTGGAGTGCAGTGGCGTGATCTTGGCTCACTGCAACCTCTGCCTCCCAGGTTCAAGCGACTCTCCTGCCTCAGATTCCCAAGTAACTGGTACTATAGGTGTGTGCCACCATGCCCAGCTAATTTTTTCTATTTTTAGTGGAGATGGGGTTTTGCCACATTGGCCAGGCTTGTCTCAAACTCTTGGATTCAAGTGATCTGCCCACCTTGGCCTCCCAAAGTCGTGGGATTTCAAGCATGAGCCAACATGCCAGCCAGTGCCCATAGATTTCTGATTGGAGGTTTGAGGCAGGACCTAATTACCAGCTCTTACTAAAGGATGGAGAGGTACCAGAGGGGGCATCCCATGAAGAGCACTGGTGAGAATGTCAGCGTGTGCATGGTTATTATAGTAAATGTCTTTCTCTTAATTTGTATAGAGCAGGCAGAAGAATCCACCAACGTGGTAGAGTTTATGAGTGCTGAAGATGACCGCTGCCTAATAACTCTCCGCTTAAATGACCAACCTAAGCCACCCGTGAGTACAGGGAGTGGGGCTCAAGGTTCTTATCTGTCTCTATTAGGGTAGTGACAGGTGGAAGCCACCTTTCCTGGTTCATAGACCATTTTCTCCTGGCCAACCATCTGTCAATTAAAAAAATTTTTTTAAGACAAGGCCTTGTTCTGTCGTCATAGTTCACTGCGGCCTCAGCCTCCCAAGCTCAGGCGATCATCCTGCCTCAGCTTCCTGAGTAGCAAGAACTACAGGTGGTGGCACCATGCCTGCCTCATTTTAACATTTTTTATAGAGATGGAGTCTTGCTCCATTGCCCGGGCTGGTCTCAAACTCCTGGCCTTAAGAGATTCTTCCATCTTGGCTTCCCAAATCTCTGGGATTACAGGCATGAGCCACCATGCCTCATCAGCTGTCTGTCAGATTTTTTCACCATCCCCTCCTTGAGATTGTTTTTGCCTCCATGTTTGTGTATTCTCTTTTCTTTT